TGTGGTAGTATCTACTACTACTACTACTACCACCACCACTACTACTACAACTACTACAACTACTACTACAACTACTACTACTACTACTACTACTACTACTACTACTACTACGACTACTACTACGACTACGACTGCTACTACTACTACTACTACTACCACTACTACTACCACCACTACCACCACTACTACCACTACTACCACTACTACCACTGCTACCACTACTACTACGACTACTTCTACTACAACAACAACTACTACTACTACTACTACGACTTCGACTACGACTACGACTACGACTACGACTACGACTACGACTACCACTACTACGACGGCTACTCCTGCTGTGCCTCCTCTTCTTGTTGCCACTTCTCTGCTACTGCGAGTGCTCGTCTACTGCTACTGCTACTGCTGCTCCTACTGCTACTGCTACTGCTGCTGCTCCCCACTCTTACTGCTGCTACTACTAGTACTCCTAATCCAGCTCCTGATCCTGCTCCTGTTACAACTCTACGATGTCGAGATGATGATTACAGCCATCCCCACGGTATTGAATATCGAGATGATGATGGTGGTGATCATGGTAACAGATGGATGGTAATGATGGTGATGACGAAGCAAAGCATACGGACGCACTTGAGGCGCTGAACCAGCAGAAGTCCATGCGACCATTTGCCAAGCTCCGGGGTGGGCAGCAGGCCACCTTGCGTTTTGCTTTTAGAACATAGTGTCTGTGGCGTCGTGGGATCAGGGAGTTTGGTTTCACTCTGCCTTGAGCTTTCTTTGTGCTTTTGTGAACCCTAAACCCTAAACCCTAAACCCTTAAACCCCTAAACCCTAAACCCCTTGACCCTAAACCCTAAACCCCTAAACCCTAAACCCTAAAGGGTGTAGGATATAGCTACGACCCGAGGAGACGACCCCTTTGCAGGAAACCCGAGAGGACATCGCAGAAAATCCCCCCGAAACCGAGATGCAGTCCCGGCTGAGGATGAATAGGGGTTTAGGGTTTAGGGTTCAGGCATTTAGGGTTTAGGGATTTTGGGATTTAGGGTTTCTTTTCCAAGGGTTCAGGGTGTCTTTAAGCGCAACTTCAGTAAGGCCCCAAACTCCACAGCTTGGATGCTGAATTTTGCTGTGTTCCCCTAAAGCAAAGCAGCTCCTCCGATACATGTCGAGTTTCCTGTTGATACTACAACAAACTGTCACTCCCAGAATTGCAAGTGTGCCCAGCCACTTGTTCCTCCAGGGTCAGCGTTGCACGTTCCCATGCCAGGATCCTGTTTTTGGTGATGCTGCCGTGTATGGTTCGGGATCCCTGAAGAGGGATCCCAGTCTCGGAAACTTCCGTTATATTGACTCCAGGGGCTTCAACCCCCAAACCCTGCACCTTCAACCCCAAACCCGAAACGTCGCACTTGTCTAAGCTACGCCGCCCCTAAACCCTAAACCCTAAACCCAAAACCCAACCCTACTTGTTTCTGCAGGTGCAGAGCTGCGCCTTCCACCCCACGAAGCATTTTGGTTGCAGCTATCCGGCTTAGGGTTCACGCTTTGAGGTGTTAAGGTTTAGGGTTTAGGGTTTAGTGTTTTACAGTCTTATGGTTTTAGGATTTTACGGTTTTAGGTTCAGGGTTTTGGTTCAGGGCTTAGTCGGGGTTGGATCTCTCTTGAATTCTGGTCTCAAGGGCTTCAACGGTGTAGTGAGTAAGCATTCAGGGTTTAGGGTTTCAGGATGTAAGGCTTCCTGCCTCGAGGATAGTCCAAGACTTCAGCAAGCAGATTGAAATGCACCGTTTCGCGTTTTTGGCGCCTTCCTAATGATTTCGTAACCTAAAACCTAAACCCTAAACCCTAAACTCTAATGATTTCGTAGCTTGGCATGATCGTTCCGAGGTATCGGCAATTGAAATCACATCCAGCCATGCAGACAAGGGACGACGATCTGCTTGTTGCCCCATGTGGCTCATAATTGCCGGTCTAAGCTAGATCCTGGATCCAAAAAGCAAAATAGGGGTCGGAAGAATCAGTAATCATATATGGGGGTGTCTTACAGAGTTGGTTCGTTTTGCAAACAGCTTTATCCGGGCTTAATCTGGTGTGATACAGGCTTCATAGGGGTTCAACGAGGGTTAAAATGCGTTTATCACAGGGTTTCAAAGGTTTAGTGTCGTGTTACACGTACAAGGGCATATGGTCTATTGAAGGATCAGGAGCGTTGGAAGTAGGATAACAACCGGAAGTCGTATTTGCAACCCGCTTCAGTAAGACTACCCAGAAAGCTTTGATCAGGGCTCGGGGATTCACGACCCTACACCCTAAACCCTAAACCCTAAACCCTAAACCCTAAACCCTAAACCCTAAACCCTAAACCCTAAACCCTAAACCCTAAACCCTAAACCCTAGCCGCCCTAGCCCCTAGCCCCTAAATCCTAAACCCTAAACCCAGACCTGAGGCAAGCTTGAGCTCCTCAGCCCTAAACCCAAAAACCGAAGCCCTAGGCCCCAAGCCGCAAGCCCGCGCCCTAAGCCGAAGATTAATCTAGGAACCTGATTAAGAAACCCTGGCCCTATAGCCCCAAAAGGACTGATATACAGAACCCCAATAAAGGCCCAAGGTTACTTAGTCAGATTCCTATATTCTACCCGAAGCCCTAAACCCTTATGATACCGTTATAGAACCCTTTAGGAACCCTTACAGTTCCGATCCAAGGTTTCTTAATCCGGTTTCTTAAAACCCTAAACCCTAAACCCTAAACCCTAAATTTATTAAACCGAAGACAGAGGCCCCATTTCCTCGTGGCCACGATGCGGAGCGTCCGAATATACGACTTGCAGAAGCAGCACCTCACTTCGCAGGGGTGTAGGGTCTTGGGTTGAATAGTGTTTAGGGTTTGGCAAGTTGGGGTGTTTAACAGCGTTTAGGGTTTATAGGGTTTAGGGGTGCAAGGTTTCGGGTGAATGGTTGAGCTGCAGTAAAGTGGGCTTAATGAGGTTCTGGCCTTTCGGGTCTCAAGCTGTTGTCGGGCTCCAGGGTTGAGGGTTTTGGGCTTCGGCGAGGGGTTTAGGGTTTTAGGGTTTAGGGTTTCAGGGTTTAGGGTTTTTATGTTTTTCTGAGGGTTTAGCGATTCAAATTTTCGGGCTGGAGGAGGCTATGCCCTCTTGTCTTTTGTGTGTGGAAGCGTCTAGGTAGGGCCTTTGAGAGATTGCGAGGTGAGGGGGCAAGTCGATTGTCCGAAGCCCAGGCCGCGCAAGCTATGTCAAAGTGGGGGCCCCAAAGCCCAAACCCCAGACCCTCAACCCAAAACTCTCAACTCTAAACCCTAAACCCTAAACCCTAAACCCTAAACCCTAAACCCTAAACCCTCAACCCAAAACTCTCAACTCTCAACCCGACATTCTGGACCTAAAACCCCAAGCCCCAGCCCGAAACCACCGCTAAAACCCGAAACTGAATCTTACCCCATAGTCTAGGACATTTTCAGGTGGGTAGTTACCGTTATAGGAGCCGTATAGAAGGTCTATATACCTTATGGAGGCCTTATAGAAGCCCTATATACCCTAAACTCTAAACCCTAAACCCGAAACTCTAAACCCTAAACCCTAAACTATATACCCTAAACTCCCCACCTGTAGTTTCATTTAACTAAGAGCATCAATCTGAAGCATCCAAAGCCTCCCTCAAAGGATCAGGGGGCATAGTAATTTAGGGTTTAGGGTTTTGGGTTGATCTGAGGGCTTTAGGAGGGACCCTTAATAGGGACCCTTGTAGGTTATTGGGGTTAATATGGAGACTACCTGGCTATATAAGGGGTATATAAGGACTATACAATGGTTATTTAAAGTAATGGGATTAAGGGTCTCCATTAGGGGTCCCTCCTAAAGTCCTTAGAGTTTAGGGTAGGATGACAAGCTGCTTTTTCCACGGGGGCTATAAGTATGTGTGTATATATGTATATATGTATATGGAAACTCAAGTACAGTCAGTTCCCTGACCCTTCAAGTAGACCCTAAACTCTCAACCCTAGCCACCGCCCCCTACACACTAAACCCTAAACCCTAACCCCGAATCCCAAAACCCATCAAGCCCAAATCCGGCCGAGAACTCAGCTGAAGCAGCTCATCAGTGGTGCGAAGTGGATCTCATCGGTCACGGTGCTACTTGGCAGCAGATGAACGGAGGGTGGAGGATGGTTTCGGGGGTTTAGGAGTGAGGGGTTTAGGAGTTTAGGGTGTGAGATTTAGGTGTTTGGGGGGTGAGAGGTTAGGGGTTTAGGAGTGTAATATAGGGGCCTTAATAATTCCTTATTTTATTATATTAATAGTGTAATACCTCTATTCTACGTATTCCGGCCCTAGGCCTAAACCACCCTAAACCCTAAACCAAACCACCCGAAACCCTAAACCCTAAACCACCCTAAACGACCCTAAACCCCACAGTATATAAGGGTGTAGGGCTTAGGATTTTACATCCGGGTCCTTGGGTTCAGGGGATCTTGGAGAGGAGCCGGGCTTCGGGTTAAGTCCACAATGCTCAGGATTCCGGGTTTAGGGTTTAAGGGTGTTCGGGTTTAGGGTGTTAGGGTTTAGGGTTTAGGGCTTAGGGTTTAGGGTGTTAGGGTTTAGGGTTTAGGGTGTTAGGGTTTAGGGCTTATAGCTCAAAGCCCTATATTCCAAACTCCCCAAAAGAAAGGCCCAGAGTTTAGGGCGTATCGACCCTGAGCCCAAAAATGCCCAGCAAGTCTCAGAGCGTCTCCTCATGGTGAGAACCGGTGAGAGAGTTTCCGACCATAAGGGGTACCTTATTTTGGGCTCCTTATAATAAGGATCCTGCTGTTTAGGGTACTATATTAGGGTCCCCTATTTTCGGAAACCCCCGTGAAGTAATAGGAAGCCTGTGGGGTTTAGGGTTGTTTAGAGTGGTTTAGGGTTTAGGGTTTAGGGTGGTTTGGTTTAGGGTTTAGGGTGGTTTAGGCTTAGGGCTTAGGGTTATTTAGGTTTAGGGTTCAGGGTTTAGGGTGGTTTAGGGTGTAGGGTTTAGGGTGAAAAGAGTTCATCCTGCATGAGTCCTGAGCAGTGAAGAATGGTGATAAGGCCACGAACAGAAGCACAGAACTGACATCGTGTAGGGTGATGGAGGTGACCTGGTCGTGGTGACGGTGAAGGTAATGGTTATCCTTGAACCCTAAACCCTAGACCCTAAACCCTAAACCCTAAACCCTAAACCCTAAACCCTAAACCCTAAACCCTGAACCCTGAATCCTAAACCCTAAACCCCATCAACATCGCCACCATTAGTATCTCATCCTTGGAGCCAGAAAGGCCCCTTCAAAATCCTAACTCCGTAGCTGGGATTCGTCACGAAACTTCCCAAACACCACACTTTGTGCTGTGAAGCCGAGCCACAGAAATTCGGGACCTTGACGTCTACTTTGCCGATGATGAGATGCGGTACAAGATTAGAAGTACACAAAGTGCAAAAGAGTAGGGCTTGCGGATTTGGTGGTGTTGGATCGGCTGTCACTGTTGGAGGTTGTCAAGAATTAGGGTCAGGGTTGGTGTGTTCATGGGGGCTCGGTCTAGTAGCTTTGCAAATTGTAAGGGCTTTGTTAGAGTGCCCGACATCAAGAGATTGTGTGATATGAGATACGGCATCTCTGCAGAAGAGTTTTACAGGAGCAGTCGACAGATATTTCAAACACAACCCTCAGATGCTGCAGCTTGTCCCATCACAGGCACCCGACTGGTGATCATGTTGTCGTTGGATCCTACGACAGAAGGGTGGCAAATTGGCTGCATGAGTTCGTAAAGTCGTCTTGTGCTGGATGTTTGCTTCAAAACCTGAATCCCTTTACCCTAAATAACCCACAACCCACACCACAAAAAACCCTAAACCCTGAACCCCAAAACCTTAAAGCCCCAAAACTCCTAAACCCTAAACCCTAAACCCTAAACCCTAAACCTTAAACCCTAAACCCTAAACCCTAAACCCTAAGTGAAGCTCTTCATGTTCGAGTTCGTCAAGGGTGCAAAACGCGTTGTCCTTGTGTGCGGTCCTTGCATCGTCCCATTCAGCCGGGTTTAGGGTTTAGGGTTTAGGGTTTAGGGTGTGGTTTCGGACTTGGGGTTTAGGGCTCAGGGTTTAGGGTTTAGGGGTTTAGGAATTAAGGCATCTTTCCAAACAGTGCTAGCTATGCTAGTATTCGTGTTGGCATCCCTGACACAAGGAATGTGACCTTCGAGACTTTAACATAGGGATCTGAATGATTAACTACCGATTACTACTCTGGGGCTTCCCTGATAGCATTTTTGTATAAAGTTCCCAAACCCCATTCTAACTGTTCAGGCCCCTCTATTAGACCCTAAGCCCCCGGGGGCCAAACATGACAGCTTAAACAGCCTTGAGAACTTCAGAAGCACTTGGCAACGTTACAGAAAACATCAGTGACGCAGCTGTATAAGCATGTATAGTCAGGTCGTCGTCGGAGGAGGACACGGAGCAGTAGCTACGGTGGTAGTAAGTGCCAGTGGCGAGAGAAGCGATCGTAGTCGCAATACCAAGAACGCCCAAGGCGAAGATCACTTAGCAATGTGACACACAAGTTCTCAGCTGCTTTCCTTTGCCAGAGCCTGTGGCACTTGCATAACTGGCATTTGTTGGGTTGAGTTTTCCACGAGATGATGGTTTCAAAACGCTTTATAGTATCGTTAAATGGGGAGCCCAGCGTGTTCGGTTGGGGGTGTCGTTTGTTGTTGGTTGTGTGTTTCTTTCTGTTTGGGGCTTCCTGCTTAAGCACTAACCCTCAACATCCACAACGGGATTGTTTTGCAGAGGTTTTGTCATGCCAACTTCCACCACAGTTCCTTACACTGTGGGTTTTGCCATGTTCCAAGTATAACCCTAAACCCTAAACCCCTAACCCCTAAACCCTAAACCCTAAACTATACCCTTACGGATCAGACTGCGTTCGGCCTTAGGGTGCGTTTTCGGCCTGGGCCTAGACCACGAGACACAAACTGAGCCAAACCCTACATCGTAGACCCTGGACTCCAAATAACTGACCCGAAAGCCTTAACTCTGGTTGCAAGCCCTAAATCCTAAACTACTAGACCCCTAAACCCTAAACCCTAAACCCTAAATGTTGGCAGCCTGCAGGTGTGGTGGGACCTGGATTTTGCGAAGACGCCATACAAGCCCCCCGGCATCCATCCCGAAGGTTCTTCGTACCCGTCCAGCATACACCCTAAACCCTAAACCCTAAACCCTACACCCTAAACCCTAAACCCTAAACACTAAACCCTAAACCCTAAACCCTAAACCCTAAACACTAAACCCTACCCTTTAAGGCCCTTTGGCATCCGTTTGGCCTTGATAAGGTTAGCCGGTAGGAACCCCGTCGCGGCTTGAGTACATACCACACGTGTAATATCGGGGCCTCAATAATTGCCTATAGTATTTTGGTGTTCCTTTTTCTAATTATAGTATAAGGGGCCCGAAAACCTGATTATAATTATTATAGTACATGGACGTTTCTAAGTTCTGCTCCAAGACCGTGAAGATGTGTTGGGGCTTCCTTCGGGGAGCCGGTTCTTCCGCAAACCCGAATCAAACTATAGGCACCTTAATAACTAGAACAGGGTTTTGGGCTACATTAGTGCAATATGGCAAATAACTTTAAGGAATAGTGTTACCACATATGCAGGCTCTAGATTAAGCCCTAAAGCCTAAGTCCCGGCCCACTGAAACTCTCGTACCGCAAGCACCATCTGGAGAATTCGGTAGCCATAGAAGCTCGAGTTATGTGGGCCTGCAATAGTGGCAGATCAACTCCAGCAGGCAAATGCGTAGGAGTTAAGGTTTGGCTTGGGCTTGATGGGTTGGATTTGGGATTTAATAAGGGTTGCGGGGTCAAGGTTGCGGCATACAGGGTCTAGGCTCAAGCTTAGTGTTTGATTCGGGTTTATTGTCTTGGCTGCTGTTGACTGAGGACGCTGCAGTATCACGACAAGGCAGTGCGTTGCGCGACGCACCTCAGCTGCAAAGAGGTTCCAGCTGGCTTCGTCTAGGGTTTAGGATTTAGGATTTGGTGTTTAAGGTTCAGGGTCACGGTACAACTCACATGTAGCAAGCAGACATCAGTAGCTCCGTCACCCCTGCTGATGTAGCCAAACCAAAGTACCTCCTGCGTTCAGTTGAAGCCCCAGACACACAGAGGATCTACTTCTCTTGTGCCAAACCCTTTTCCTCAACCTGGACTCCTCAACACCTAGACATGCGCCCTGTTAAACGTCGAAGCTTAAAAATGGTGTGTCGTTGTGTGTTGCTTTGAGGGGGCCAATGCCAGCATGACTAGCGAGTACCCTAAACCCTAAACCCAAAACCCTAAACCCTAAACCCTAAACCTAATCACTGGAACAAGTCGACACAGTAAAGATGGGTGATGGATCATTGACCGTCCTTGTGGAGGCTTATGGAAATACCGGCTGTACAGACAGTTGCGACCTCCGTCATCGGCATTCTGGTAGTATGGAGCGAGATCAAGGAGAATGAAGATAGGAAGGATCGCTCATCAACTAGCACACATGGGAGCAAGCAGCAAGCATAGCACAACAAGAGTAGCAGAAAAAAAGAGTCTAAAGACGAGCCATAAGCACCAAGCCAAGAATCCTCTGCCCAGCTACTGGACCCGAACCTGAGCAAGGAAAGAATTGCAGAGGCCTCGTCGAACCCAGAAGCACACACGATCTGCAAAATACCTCGCGATCTGCAGAATGCTCGCAACAGTTCTAACTCTGTAAGCTCTCACCAAAGCTGACCAAAAGACACATCGATGCTATGTTCAACCCGATTGTGTAGCACACACTTTGTTCGTAGCCCATCTTAGTTTTAATCTCTAAACCGAGATACTAGAATCACTAGAACCCGAATTAGACTGCAAGCTCTCACTCCTCAACCCTGAACCCTCAACCTGGACCTCTGAATGCTAAGCCCTAAACCCTAAACTCTCAACCTGGACGCCTTAAGCCCCAAACCCCAAACCCTCAATCTAGCTGAAAGAAGCCCTAAACCCTAAACCCTCAACCCTAAACCCTAAACCATGTGAAGCTGTGAGGTTCCATCCTGGGCGATTCCCACTCCTTGCGGCTTGCTCCGACGATGCCACCGTCAGCATCCTTCACGCCAAGGCCGGAAGGGATGAGGGTTTAGGGTTTAGGGTTTAGGGTTTCTCCCTGTCGATCTTCAAGGGCGTTCATCACAATATGATACAATATATCTGAATTCCTAAGGTTTCTCCCTGTAGATATTCAAGGGCGTTCATCACAAGATGATACAATATTGTCTGAATTCCGAGATTTTCACCTGAGTTCTGTGGGTCCATCATGGGTTTGCATAGGCTGCATCCTCAGCCCTCTTCTTAGGACATGAGCTGCATGCAGGCCAAGGCACCGGCTCGACCGAAGCTAGAAACTCCAAACTCCGCATGAGCCCTAAACCCTGATCCCCAAACCCTAAACCCCAAACCCTAAAACCCTAAAACCCCAAAACCCCCAACCCTAAAATCCTAACCCCCTGACCCTAAACCCTAAACCCTGTAGGACTTCCCGGCTGAATAGGGTTTTCCGGTGTAGGCCTCAACCCGGAAGCCCGAAACTTCAAACCACCGGAGAAGACGGGGGAACCAGACGCGGCCACGGTGGCGGCCAGTGAAAGAGGACCTCTTTGATTTTGTGCCAATCATTTAAAAGACCGTACCGTTGGATGTTGAGTACATGGCCAAGGAGCGAGGATTGGAGGATCAGACTTTGGAGAGTAATATAGGGGCCTTAATAATTAGAATAGGGTTTTGGGTATATTATACGAAAATTTTAACAAGGAGCCCCGCGACCCTATTTATTCTAATTATCAAAGGCCCCTACATTAATCCT